CTAGTGAAAAATTGCTCATCACAATCAGGGTATTCCTCCACATAACTAGTCCAGACCTTTCTCCTTGTAGTTTTAAGTACTTTTAATGTCTTGTACTAATGGAAATAGGAGGTATCACTTACCATCTGCTTCAGGCAATAAAATGTCATTGGCCAAACCTTACTTTTAGTCATCTTTTTCTGTCAAAGATAAACTGGATGCTTCATAAGCAAATTTAATTCTTATTGTGTTTAGCATGTATTAGCTGTCTCTCACTTTAAAAAAGCAAACAGGGCGATATTAGCTCTGTTCCAAGTCATTTTATCTGTGGTATAATATTTTCCCACTCCCAGTTGTTCAGTATTTCTAATCTGGGTGGATCAGTCTGCGTCCTTAAATTCTTTGCCAGCTCATTTTATGGAACAGTTGATGGTTTCTGGACACATCCTTACTTTGGTTTAGCTTCATATTCATACGGATTGACGATCTCGGGGGAAAATTTATTTTGGAACTTCTTCCTAACTCTGCTTGGCCAAGTCCAGGGTTGGCAAACTTTGCTGAAAACAACTCTTAAACACTGGATTTGAGGAACTATAATTATGCAACTCGAGAGTATATGGTAGAAAAATACAGGCTTTCCTTTCAATTTGGCATGAATAGCATGGATTGCTGATGCAGGGAGAAGTATAACACCACTTTTGAAGGGGTTGAGGAATAGCCATGGCTAGGATTGTACTGGAAGAGTAAACATATGGCACCTCTTTTAGAAGTGGAGAATACATTCATCTGAATCATGCAGGCTGTAATTCCTTGGTTAAAAGCTTCAAAACAGCCACAGGACTGCCTAAGAATGATTTCTCTTTCCCAATGACATAAATGTTGGATGCAGCTTTTAATGCACATCTAAAGCTAGTCCAATGAAGTCAAGAGAAGAGCGCACCAATATGTTTCCATCTGCTGAACGTACTGTTTACTGCTTTTCAGCTGTTAGTGTGGTGACCAAATCCAACCTAAATCTTTCTAGTGTTAACAAACATTTGTTGAATAAAAGGCAGTGTGCAAACCAACTAGTACAAATGTCAGTTTGTTGTGCTCATGAATCTAACATGACTAGGATGTATGAACTCCTTGTTTTGACATTGTCAATTTTCTCTGTCAGGGGAAAGAAAATTTTTGAGCCACCACGCTACATGAGTGTGAATCAAGCAGCCGAGCAACTTCTTGCAGTTGTCCAGAATCGGCGGCTACAGGGCCAAGAGCCAGGTATTATCTGTCTGTCATTTCTGGTAGAAAGATATACTGCTTGAAATCTCTTCCAAATTTAAGAGCTCTTATGGTAATATGGAGATGGGCCATCCTGAACTTGGCAAGATACAGTTTGCACGGAAGCCAACGTTTTACATTGGTTCATCATCATGTCATGTACACCGCTGGCCTGGAAGCACATATTTAAAGGCCGCAGAATGTTGGCTTATACACAAACCAGCCACAAGTTCAATGACCCAGGGTTTTTTTTAAAAAAAACATTCTATATGGATATATTTCAAGAATGAATCACATTGACTTCAATCATTTCCCACATTCATAAGAAATTATGCATTTCCTTCATTTAGTGTTTGTGATTCTACTTGCCACAAAATGTCCCAAAAGCAGAGTGGGAAAGCACTTTTAATATTTAAAAAATTGAATTTTACAGTCTTTGATCAGCACAAAGAAAAATATGTATCCAATTCCTTGCCGTCTTGTATTCAACTAACAATTTGACATTGCACAAAGAAATACAGACTTTGGTGGGAAAACATATAACCAAATGTAGTTCTCTTGTTAGTAAAACATTTCTATGTCGTAGAAAAAAGAAACCTCAAAAGTTAAGTAAATTGATCTTGATTTGATCCTCAAGCATTTTAATTGTAAAATTGTATGTCAGGAGTGGAGAAACCAAGGATGCACTATGACTCCCATCATCCTGGTCATGATCCAGTCATGCTCAGTGGGCATGACAGGAATTGAAATTCAGCAATATCTGACTGACTGAAGTTTTCTCATCCTTACTTTAAGGTTTAAAATAACACTATAAAGTAGGGGTGTCCAACCTTGGCGACTTTAAGACCTGTGGACTTCAACTCCCAGAATTCCCCAGCCAGCCATGCTGGAATTATGGGAGTTGAAGTCCACAAGTCTTAAAGTCGCCAAGGTTGGACACCCTGTTGTAAAGCTTCTAGTTCTTCAGTGTTTGATCCCAGTAACTTATAGCAAACAAGATGGATACACTATTTATCAAAAGCAAACCTGGAAACACCTTTCATTCCTATGAAGCAAAGGAACATAAAATGAGAATCATGGTTAAGGAGAAATTTAACCACAATTTAATTCATCATCTTGGATTCAAATAACATAGAGCAAAACATAATACAATTTACTGTGTTATGCAAGTTATGGTTAGTAGACAACCCTCCCCTATCAAAACATCAAGAAAAATATGGGAGTGGGGGAGTAAAAATGACTCTCAGCAAATTCTCCTTCATATTTTCTGGTTATAGGAGCTTTTTCAGAGATACAAAACCCTGTCCACAGATATTTCATAAATGCTTCCTTGTTTTTTCAATTTTTTTTTTTTAGAAAATTCCTCAGTTATCAGGAATAGCATCTAGTCTTTCTGGAGGGCTATATTCACTTAAATAACTCTGCATGACTGAAAACCTACCTAATTATTATACCTGAAGTGTCAAGAGTTCCAAGTAACACCCCCAGCAAAAGAATATTCTGAGGCTTGAGTTTCCTCAAAGTTACATTTTATTAGATATCATATTGGCACATCTGAGGAAACCTGAATCTGAAAGCTTCCAGGGTTTCCCCACCCAAACGAAAGTTCAAGTCCCTGCCCAACACCCACAAGTCCATCACATGGTCCAATCAAAACACCATCTCAACTGGAGATGCCTCCCAGTTCCAGCCTCCCAGGTGCAGGGCAAGATGTCCTTGAACCTCTGAGAAAGGAATGTTGTTATGACTATATATCAGCCATGCTCCATACAATCCCCCCTCCCCATTTTCCACAGTAGTAAATGTGGCAGGTCTGAAGGCCCAATACAAAAGATGGCTTCCAGGCCTGACAGAAAGTTCAGATTCCTGCTAGATCACATATTTCCTGTGCCTGATCTTTACACATTTTGCCACATCCTATTACGAGGCAATGTTACAGGCATTGCTCGAATTTTCAGGGAAGTGATTGTAGATTCTGAAACCTTCAGAAGGTTTCCTGGCGTCAGTGTAAGATGATGTAACTGAAGGAAAGGAGGGAGAATCGTTTTCTCTTAGATTTGCTGCAGAAGTCAACATTTTGAAGCAGATTTTCCTAAATCATTGTTCTTTGTTTTTGCAGAAGTAACCGAGAACACTATCTGTGTAGGCTTAGCAAGAATTGGTGCACTGGATCAGAAGATTGCATCAGGTACTCTTCAGGATATGACTACAGTGGCCCTTGGCGATCCTCTGCACTCTATAATCATAACTGGAATATTGCATCCCTTGGAAGTAGACATGCTTAAATTATTTGCAGTGGATAAATCCATCTTTGAACAACACTGAATTGGAAACTCTTTGTGCCTTACCTGGAACAGAAGCTGGTAAATTCCTTCTTGATAACAGACTACTCTACAAAGAAGTAGCCCATATCTTGCTAAAGAAGACAACTAGCAAACCCAATTGTGATTTCTTATGGCTCAGGCTCAGTGCGTACAACTTGTAAAAGTTTTGTTACTTGGCAGAAGTGAAATAAAAATTGAGAATATTGTTTTGATTCACCTATACAGCTGGTGATGGGAGAACACTCAGTATGGCAAAAGAGAACATTCGAAAGAAGAAATATAGCACTTGGCTAGGATGGCTCATTGTTTTCAATGTTAGGTAGGGCTTTAGAGATATGGCTCAGAGAGCAGAGATATCACATGAGTGAGATGGGCAGCACTATCAGTTTACTAAACAAATATCTCCTTGTACAACTCCATGCTGGACCAACTGTGCTTCCCAAATGCAGTCTTGCATGGACCACATGATAGAAATCCAAATAAAAGGTATCTAAACCATGAGTAATCATGAGAGGGATCATCTTAGGAGATGTACATACAATTGGCACACAACAATGAAACCATGTAAGAGATCTTCCTTTTCCATTCTTCAAACAAGTAATAGAAAAGCAGATCGTGCACTGGTTGTATGTCAGTTAAGTGCAAGATGGAGATTTTTTGACTATCCATGGAAATAATTCCTCACAGAGAAAAGTAACATCTTTACAGAAGCTGCTTTAGAATTGCCTTATTAGTTTCCTGCACAGCTTTGCCAAAAATATCAACTGTGTACAGCAGAGACAAGGGATCCAGGCTGCCATGCAATTTCAAAAGTGGAGAAGGTCTTGGGAACCCCATAAATATATGCAGCCAATGGTTCATAATTCTCATACATCCTTAGTTCCTTTTTTCCCTCGAGGGTTTTTTTCTTTAATCTCTTTTTATAGCATGTCCTTCCAAAAATGAAGAGGCTTGCCCTTCCAAATGAAATAGATTCAAAAAGATCTCTAGACCGCACCTGTGTAGCAAGCAGGAGGTATCTACTTTCAAATATAACTGATGTAGGAAATTGACCTTGGCAGTTGGTTCAGTGTACTGTTTTTATTGAGTCCACCTGCTCCATACTTTTTCTGGAGATCTGGAGATTCCTCCAAAAGATTTTCTAAGGAAATTAAGGGATGCCATCTTTTCTGTGCCATTTCCATGAATAAGCGCCTCAACTCAACACTGCCTTGAGTTTGTGCAGAGAATGGGAAATAAATCTAACCAACCAACCTCACTTTATCTTTTGATTCATATATTGTGTTTTACAATGTGACTAGCTGCTATTATGCATAAACCACAATATGCAGCTTATTAGGGTCTATGACACCTCCGTCTTTTTGCCAATTAGACAAGAACTTAAGAATACTTTAAAGGAATGTATTTCACCCAAAGAACTACATAAACAATATATGACCTTTAAAAAAAAGTTTTATTGATAGGAAAAATTGATCCCAAATATGTCAAACATTTTTGCTGTTTCAATAAAGACTGTATTTAAAGTAGGAAAAAATAAACCAATAAAATGTTCAATATTGCACTGGCCACTAGCTATAGTATTTTCAAGTTATTTTCGGTATATTATCTTCAGCCACCACTTTGAACTTATCGGTAAATAAATTCCTTGAATTGTACAAAACACCAGGCCTTTAGAAATGAAATAAAAGACATTTTCAGGAAATAAAGAGTTTCGCCATTTTTTCATACAGGAAAATATATGGCTAGGCCATAAATGCGATCTATAATTTAAATCAGGGCTTGGCAACAAGACATACCACCACTAAATAATGAGTACTGATGTCAAAAGTTAAAAATAGGCAGCTGGAATCCTATTAGATCAGTGTTCTCAAGTCAGAATTTGGTCTATTAGAAGCTATAGGTTGCATAGTGATTCATGCTGCCTAAACAGACTGCTGACCCCTGCATAAATTTTTTATTTATTTATCAAATGTATTTGCTGCCCATCTTGTAATTCAAGGCAACTTTGAGTGGCAAGTTTGAGGAATTGATATCATAGCAATGAGGCCTCAGTAAATGAAATATGCAAACAACTGTTTTAGCATTTCATTATAGTGAAACTTTCCCCTCCCCAAGACAATGGAAGAATAAAAACAGAAAAATCCATCTGTTAAAGCTTAATCACAGCTCCAAAGTAAAATTACTTATTAGTGGGGCACAACTCTTTTAAGGTAAAAAAAAAATAAATTGCAAAACGTTCAGGTCAAAGTACAAAGCAACAGGAGTTATAATGGGGGCTGGGAGTAGGACTCTGAGAAAAATGCATATTGTACTTTCTATGGCAAAACAAAAGCAGATCGTGATTTAAGAAATTTTGAACAAAACTCATAGAGCACAGGTGTCAAACTTGATTGCGTCACGTGACGTATCGTGACATTTTTTTGCCTTGCGGAGCCAGGATAGGCATGGCCTGCGCATGACTCATCCGGTCCGCAGGCCCCAGTTTGACAGGCCTGTTATAGAGGATAATTTTCTAAACTAGACAAAGCATGTAAGAACCCTGGGTTTCATCTAAATCATACCAACCATATTTTTTTAAAAAAAATAGTGAATACTGCAGTTCTCCTGAGGAAAACATAATTTCACTGGTTTTAGTCTCCTCCCACCCATCCCTCAACCTATCTTGCAATAACCAGCCATTGATATTTCCACTGGCAGTCTTGGTTTCCTCATCTGCCAACAATATTTATTTGATAAAGTGCAGTTAGCATCTCTTCTATAAACTTACAGTTAGACCAGTACTTTGTTTACTAGCCAAGACTCTGAATATCTGAATAAAATGGCAAGTGTTCATTTTTAGAAATGAAAAAGAACTGAGGGAAAAAAGACTGTTCAAGCTGTTGGTTCCATCTGTAGAAAATAACATCCTAAACTATGTTGGGCAGTCTATTTTCCCTCAACAATTAAACAGATCCTAAGATTAAGCCTAATACTTTGAACTTTAAAAGTATAAAAACACTTTTTCCTTCATATTATCTCTCTAGAGCTTGGTGGACAATAAACCTGTTCTATAAATCTCCTAAATTAAACACTTTGTTTTAGGATTACAGATCAAAATGCACATTTGTTTAGAAAGTGAGCCCTCTGCTGAACTATATGGTTCAAAGGCAACGGCGTTCGATGTAAGTTATTTTGCCAAAAGTTAGATAAAAGCACATTTCAGTGCCACATATTTGGCAAAAGTATAATTTTATATGCTTTGCTGTTTGACATTTGGCTGAGAGAAGTCAGCAACAATAAAGAGGACTTACATCCTGCAGAAACAAAACAAAGAGCATATTAACCCCACTAAAAAGGTTAAGCAGCTTCCAGCGCCTCTTATTTAAGGCACACCCAAGATTTAGAACGTGCCAACAAAAGCCACTGGAACAAGCATGTCAAAGCATAAGCAAAATTCAGAGTGATGCACAAATCAGTGGAACAAGTTGATTTTCTTATTTGAAGAAGTGATTACAAATAAAGTATTTAAAACAAGTTAACAACCTACTTCAGCAAGCCCTTTTGCTGAAAGAGATTCAAAGGCGAGGGGACTTCACATTAGTCTACACAGAGCTAAATAATTATTTCCATGGGGAAAAATAATATTGCTGCACCAAGTGAAAACAGCACAAACATTTTCCCCTCCCATCTTGGGGAATCTATTCCTATTGTCTTTTATATGTGAGGGGAATAAGAAAATAGCAATACACAAAACAGTTTTTCATTTTGTCTTATGGAAAGGAAGGAGGCCCAAATACGTTACTGTGCAAAAATAATGAATCAAAACTTATATTAGGGTTTAAATTACAGGTTGCATAAAAATTCATTTCTAACAATAAGCAAAAACAAAGCAGGGCTAGAAATTAAAACAACCAGTAAATAGGTTATCTAACAACCATTGGATTAAAAAGTAATAAAAAGTTATTCCCATAAAAACAGAAAATCCACATTACAGTTTTTTCCCAATATAAAATTCAGGTCCATTTTATGTATTTCTGATGCCTAACACAATTTCATGCAAGCTATAAAAAACAATTGTTTGGCTTAAGAAAACAATTTCTGATCATGAGTAAATGCTTTTTTTTTTTTCTAGGCCAACCTTGCTTGCATTTCACGCTTTTGTTCCAATTGTCTTTTAAAAAGGCCTAGGGATTTCTATTGATTTGACAAACAGTGAATTGGGGTTTTCCATATTAACTTAAAATGGAGACTAGCTGACCAACTTCAGTTCCAACATTAGAAATATGTGGCGTTGTATCCATATATAACCTTTAAACATTACACGGTGGGATATAGACAGAAGACATATTACCCAGAACGTTACTCTGAAGTTTTAAAAGAACTTTTAATTATGATGGAGAATACTAGCACAGAATGAATATTGGCAGAGCTATTCACTAACTAATTAAGTGCCAGAAAATGCTGCTGTAAGATTTATAGGTCCTACAAGAATCTTGATAAGGGGGAAAAAAATCAAACTTTGAATATGGGGTTTGATTTAGGAAAACTCATTATATTCAGTTAAAATCTGAATGTTTAAACCTGACAATGCAGACAATGGTGAGATTACCAGAAGTATATCCTGGATTCACATTCATCAGAGGATCAAATAATTGGTTAAGTAAACATACAGAGTACAAAATAAAATAATATATTGTCTGTTGGCTAGTATAAAAAAAACCCCTCCAATCAAAATAAATGTATCCAATATAAAGGACTCAGAAAGGAAGTGGTAATGTAGGAAGAGGCAAATTCATAAAAGCATCCCTCCTTTTGAGTGTTTCATAAAATTTAAATTTAAAAAAAAAATAATTATTATTTACTGCAAGACTTGACCATGTATGGAAAAGCAATAATTAAAAGACATCCGATCGGGGGAAAACATCATATTCTTGCAAGACATTTTTTTGCACGCTAGATACATGTAGTAACGGCCCAATTACTGTCAGGGTACTGCAGAATTAGCAGCCAAGATTTTACTTCATGGTAATGAAACATTCTGCGAGCGCGTTTTACGTATTCATTTTGCTACTGTATTTGAAAACTGAAGAGTGGTCTTCAGAAACTTAAAAATTTAACATTAACAGGGAATCCATCATCTTTGTATTCAATTACACATTTACAGCACATCAATTGCAAGCAAAAACTTTACTGGTACAAGTCACAGCCATAAAAATTAATAAAAAATCCCCAATGTTTCCTATCTGTGCTGACAGATACTTTGATAAAAAGGCACTCTGAAAACCCAATATGGTTTGGTTCATTAAGTTTGCGAAGTACAAACAGTCTTATAAACAGTTATGCTGTAGAATGTCAATCGCTGTGACATTACACCCCAAAGTAATTTCCGTTTAATTTCTCCCTCCCTACAATAATACCGGTTCTGTGGGAACGAGAAATCTCTGCCACAGCAGCAGCCTTACAGAAAGCACAGTCAACGATTGCAACCTCACATCTGTATCGGTAAGTCTGCTGTAGGTAGGAACAAACTTGGCAAAGAATCCACAAAGTTTTGGGGCTCCAGAAAGTCACTCCCAGATTAATTCAAGTCAATCCCACCCCTTTCATTTTCTCTTCTGCTAATCAGACAGCAAGAGACTTTGCTGGGAAATGGAGACCAGGAGTTTCAATTTCCAAAGGGAGAACAAAGTCTTAAAATGACAGTACTGGAAAGCTTTGGTCCGAGGAGGAGTCGAAGAGGTTCGCTACATAGTGGCAAAGTCGATCTGAACATACAGTTGCCTCACTCCAGCCTGCAAACACAAGGAAGAAAGACACATATATGTCAGAAATGAGAACAGGTGAATCTCGTTTCAAATGCAGGGATATCCAACTTTGGCAACATTATGACTGTGGACTTCAAATCCCAGCATGGCTGGCTGGGAATTTTTGAGAATTCCAATTCACAAGTCATAAAGTTGCCAAAGTTGGACACCTCACTCACTATGATCTGTCATGGAAGTGTCTTGCAAACCTCATTGGAGGTCTGCTCCATTTAGGAAAACAACCAGTATAGACCAGGGGTCTGCAACCTTAAACACTCATAGAGCCATTTGGACCCATTTTCCAAAGAAAAGAAAACCCCGGAAGCCACAAAACCCTTCCCGTGCCTGAGTATTTCCTGAGCGGTCACAAAACTAGCATATATAGTTGAATTAAACATTCTGTTTTCTTCTGAAACTTTTCTTGGATTTTTCCATGGTTGACCTACCAGAAGTCGAAAGCCCAATAAATCGCATGCTGGTAGGTGTCACACGTTGGTGGTTGTGATACATATTTTAAGCGACAGGAAGCCGCAGCAGAGGGATGAAAGAGCCACGTGCGGCTCCAGAGCCGTGGGTTGGTGACCCCTGGTATAGACCAATGGTTAAGATGTGGCACTGGGATCAAAGAAACCCAGGTTCAATTTGCCCCAGTGGTCAAGCATGACGGTGGGTGAGTTACTTTCTCATATCAACCCACCAAATATAGCGACTCTTGCAGGGATAAAACAAGGAAAGTTCCCTTGTTTGCCACCTCGTGTTTCCAATAGAAAAGCAGATATAAATTCAATAAACATGACCACTACTATGGATGAACAGTTCTAATTAATAAAATGGCACCATAGCAAAGCTCTTAATTTCATTATTCCTTGGTCTTATGATCATAAAAACAAATGATTTTTCTGGTTCAAAATATTTTCATAAGAATGCTTGAAAACCATTCTTGGCAACCTTGGCAACTTTATGACTTGTGGACTTGAATTTTGTGGTGTACAACACTTAATGTAATGAAAATGAGAACTAGCCAATATGTAAGACTTTTATGATCCACAAAGTAATTTTTTTAAAAAATACATATACAATGACAGAATAAATGTAACTGGACTGCCTCTATTTTAAAGTTCAGAAAATCACAGATTTATTAACTGGTGCTTTTAAACATTTAAAAATGCTAGACAATGTGATCATTAACATTTAAAATGTTTTATAATTTTTAGCAAAACAAAAGTAAGAGGCAAATTTACTCCCTTTGAAGCGATCCAAAAATTAACAGAAAAGTGAGATATTTGTAAAGCTGAAGAACATATATCTACAAATAAGTGTAAGTAGAATTTTATATAGAATTTAGATTATTTAGAATTTAAAATCAGAAATAAGGCTTCTTGCAAGTCCTGAACTTTATAACCCAACTTGGCTAAAAATACCTTAATGAAATTTTCTTCAGTGGCTAAAAGCCGGATCGTAACTTATAATTTAAATGCAAATTTTACCTGAGTAAAAATGTTGTGAGTTTGGCTTAATATCCACTTTGCATCAGCATCTGGAGCTACATACAGTTTCAAAGTCCCTATGTAAACATCAGTACAAAGAGTCCAGAAATGAGGATCGTGCAAATTGTAAACTCCTTGCAATTGTTGAACCTAAAATACAGAATTCAGTATTTTAGTTTTTCCTTCTTTTAAATGATCGTTAACAGAGTAATTTATAAGAAACAATTAATCCCAGCCCTGAATAATTCTATGTACTTTGTTACATAATAAGCAAAATGAATTCTCTCAAAAGATGTCCAATTAATATTTTTTTCTTTTAAGACCAAATATAATAAATCAGTTTCAATCTCATTTTGAAGAGCGGGTTTCTTTTCCCAATTTCTGTTCCTGAAAAATGTTTCCTTCATGCTATTAAGAACATGCTGGTACTTTGTACTAAACCACTTTTTTAAAAAAATCCCAAGTTGTTAAAGCAATTTTAAAACCTGCTTTGCACAAAATCCTAAACAAAAATTATGTTCATCTTCACATTAACCGCAAAATAAGCACAGTGCATTAAGGCTTAAAAATTATATGAGAAACAGGGTTATAACTTAACATGATGTTAATTGATAATAAATTTTTTAAGATAATTTGCCTTCAGATGTCTTAGAACACCTGCCAAGGTCCAAAAGACATCTACAAGTATCATGCTGGGGAAGACTGTATTGGCATTCATAACTGAAAGTTAGTCTGGTCACTAATGTTGTTTGTTCATTGTTTCTACAATTATGAGAATGAGATTTCAATTTGTATAGAATGAAAATTGCCCAAATTTACAAATTTGTTTCATCAGATAAACTCTATTAATTTTAGGGTTTTGTTCATTTAATAAGGGAATTGAATTGGCATTCCTGGAGGACAGGTGTTCTCCAGATGTTAAACATCTGCTGCTGTTCTATTTGAGGTGTATATTTCAAACCAATCAAAATACTATAACTCACCCGTTGATAGCACTGAGGCAAAGCACTTTCTAGAGAAGGAGGCGTTCGCTGCATCAAAATTCCAATGGATTCTCTCAGGAGTGGAACAACACTAGAAATATTATTTAAAGTTATTTTAAATACAGATTAGATAGATAGATAGATAGATAGATAGATAGATAGATAGATAGATAGATAGATAGATGAATTAAATTCATTCTAATGAAGAGATATTCTTGGTTAATGAAAACAGCCAGAAGTGCTGGGATTGCAATCACTAAGCAATGTGGTCACAACATCTTCCTTTACAACTGCATCATTTACCATGTTTCCCAAATATAAGACCCGGTCTTATATTTTTTTGAACCCTGAAATAAGCGCTTCGCCTTATTTTCGGGGAGGTGTTATTATTTTGGGGCGCATGGAGCAAGATGGACTCCTCTTGCCATCTTACCTGATTTCCAGCTGTGTCTCCCTAACCCTAACCAGAGGAAATGGCAGGGACCGGCTGTGCCTGCATTTTAATATTGGGGGGGGGGTTCCGAGGAGGGCTTATTTTCAGGGGGGGCTTATTTTAGCGCATGCGCTCCAAAGCTGATTGGGCTTATTATCTGGGGAGGTCTTATTTTTGGAGAAACATGGTATCAACACAAATTCTATTTCCAATTGTAGTTATCATTTGAGGACAATTCAAAACGTCATGCTGAAACTGAATTGTCCAAATGTAACCATTGTGGAGTGAGTTACATATCCTAAATAGCCATCTCTCTCTCTCTCTCCCCCGCTTCCTCCCTCAAAAAAAAAAAAGGCCTTTAATAACTAGGGTACTCGCTCATGGGGGAAAAAGAAGATCAAGACTACTATGCACCAACATACAATTCAATTTTGACTCAGATGCTTGACAAAAATGGCATTACTGATAGGAAGAAATATATGAGGCTCTTTAGGGTCAGTTAGCTAGAGAATATATACATTTTTAAAAAGGATACTTGCTTTTGTTTCTGGTTTAGAAAATGTTTAATTTATAATCCAAAATAATAAGAAAAAGGACGCAAGTAGGGGAAAACACATGAAGAAAAATCACAGAACTAAATTAGTAGGTACATGTTCAGCCATAATTAAATGACTTGTCTAAAACAGCCATCTCTGCATTTCTTGAAATAGGGGAACCCAGGGATTTTAACGGAGCTCAAGCAGGGAGCATTTGGAAACAATTTAGAGGCTCCATTCAGCAACTGTAAAACGAGCATATTGAGGTATCAGAGGAAACACACAATTCCCATGATAAAGGGCTTAGAATCATAGATTATATACAGCTGCACCGCTCAGAATATTGAGAATTTTATGACTCTTAATATCAGGAACACTGACCTCACCACAGGTATCTGTGGAGTGTGGACGCACAACAAAACACACATTAAGGTTTTGTTATGCTAACTTCACTACATGTGTATGTGTGTCTGATATCACACTGCAAATACAAAAGGCGCATGTTGTGACATCATGATACACATTTTGGTACTATAATGATTAGGATCAAATGCCGTGACTCCCCAATAGTCTTAGATTTGGAATATTATCAAGAATCTTCAGAAGGCTGGTTTGCAATTTTCTGATAACATCATAAAACAGATGAAAAGTTTATGCAGTTTCCTGTCTAGATTAAAACACTTCATTACTACCATAGCTTTAATTCCACTTTATAAGGGTAAAATAAGTCTTAAATTTATTTATTTATTTATTTCATTATTATTTTTATTTCTATACCGCCCTTCTCCTGCGCGTCTCAGGGCGGTGTACAGCCGAGATAAAACATTGCATATAAAATTTAAAAACAGTTTAAAAAACAATTAAATAATTTCGGCCCAAGATTTAAAAACAACCCAATTAAAACCGAATTCAATTAAAACTGAGAGGATGGGATCAAGCCAGCCCGGCTAGATGGAATAGGTGTGTTTTCAGGGCCCGACGAAAAGTCCGGAGGTCTGATATCGTGCGTATCTCAGGGGGTATTAAATGATATTCAGTAGAAAGAAAGTGAATTAAAAACATAGCTTCTTAGGCAGAAAAGTTATATCTTCAAATTTTCAAAGTTTACTCTCTATATACCTCATAATATTTTTTTTTTATATTTTTTTTAAAGACTGGTAAATGCACTGAATGAGAAAATTATTCCTGGACATTCTGCTGCAAAAATAAGTATTTCCCATCACAAGTCTGCCCATAATGGAAATTAATCATTCAACATCAACGTTATACTTTCTTTGTGGGAAAGCTGATGTATAAATGAATATTTAACACCAAATAAAGGCGTAAGAACTCCATAAAGCTAAGAGATTATTGATCGCCAGCCAACCAACTGGTTTTCCACAACTATCAAAATATAGGCGAGAAGGGCTTTAATCCAAGTAGCCTAATCAATGTATGGCTATCATGGCGTGGACATGAAGGCAAGGGTGTTCTCCTTCAAAAGAAAAGAAAATGTAATTTTCCTAGAGCCTGCTGGTTAATGGGAGGTTTAGTGGGCTCCAAAAGAGGGTAGATTTACCCTCTGCAATAAACTATTTTATTCTTAGTTTTAATAACATTTCAGGGAGACTTTAAAAGTAGAGCTATACAAGAAGACTTAAAATGAAGTTCAGCTGAAACGTGGAAAAAGTGAATTATTCCTCCTTTAGAAACAAAGAACTGCAAAATCAATTATCTAGATTATCTAGATCTGTGAGGGTGAACCTATGGCACGCGTATACAAAGTGGCACACAAAGCCATGTCGCCTGGCACATGCGGCTTTGCCTGTTTGTCTTCCAGGTTTCTGACGCGCATGCGCGCACGATGAACAGCTGTCCTTCGCCCGTGCGGCAGTGCCGAAAACAGGTATGTGCATGTGTGCAGGCGTGCCAAAACCCAGAAGTTCAGCTTTTCCAGAGCAGGATTCTTTAGTGCGTGCACAGCACTGCCGAAAATCAGCCTGCACATGTGCACCAGCCAGCTGATTGTCAGACAAGCATGCACGCTGGAACCCGGAAGTTCAGCTTTTCTGAAGCGCGGCCCTGAGAAGCGTGCGCACAACATTTCTGCGCAACCTTTTCAGCCCTCGGTGCCAAAAAGGTTCACCATCACTGATCTAGATGATCTCATAAGCCTTTTGATGTCACCTAGATCATGGGTGCCGCAAGGCTTGATAGGTTCTATAAGGACCTATCCAGATGTAAAACTTTTTTTTTTTAGAAAACGCATAAATAGCTTACCTGCAATGCTTAACAAAGACTCTTGTTATTTCTGCATACAACATTTTTAACAACTGTAAGCAATCTGGCTGCCGGCTGCTACATTTGGCACTTGCCAAATGTAGTTTGGTGGTTATGCTGCTTATTAATAGATGACTGCATTGGAAAATTGTATTAGATGCTATTGTGGCTTACATATTTAAACAACTGATAATATTGCGGATATTGCGGTGTAACTGTTTATACTACTCATATGCTTGACCTTGGCTGATCTTGAAAAGGAAAGAAAAGCTGGCTCTAGTTTAGGACTGAATGGGAGACATCAGGAAAAGTCTATAATTATAGTTAGATTGGGAAGTCAAAAAAAAAACATCCCATAAGAAGGTAACGGTAAACCACTTCCATATAGGAAAGGTATTTAGGCATGGCCATGAAGTCACAATCAAGCCATACTTAGAGATTTTACTTTTCCTGAGTTTAAAATATTATTTTCATATATCAAAGGAATTATTGGTATTGCTGCTCTATGTTTTGGGAGAGAATTAGTTTCAAGCTGTGTGTTACCTGGATCTCCAACGTAATAACTGCAGAAATCTGCCTTGTCCATCTGATTTTTTTTATTTTTTTTTAATTTGATTTATATGCCGCCCTTCTCCGGAGACTCAGGGCGGCTTACAATGCGTTAAGCAATAGCCTTCATTCTTTTGTATGTTTTATACAAAGTCAGCTTATTGCCCCCACAAACTGGGTCCTCATTTCACCTACCTTAGAAAGGATGGAAGGCTGAGTCAACCTTGAGCCTTGGAGAGATTCGAACCAGCAGAAATTGCAGGCAGCTGTGTTAATTACAGGGTGCACTAAACCCCTGTACTATCAAGGCTCATTATTTTATTCTGCTTTGGATTCTTTTTATTTTAAACAAGAAGGAACCTCACAAAGCGAATGGGGAGTTTTAGATTTTAGCATAATCTTTATTTCCAGAGTGTTCCTGGGCCTTTCACCGACATTCTTGGAGGACAAAAATAATAAGGGTTACAATGGAGTGCTGATGGTGTAGGCTCACTACCCAGAAAAAGAAAGCATCCTGAGAGAGTAAATGGAGTGATGAAAGAGTGAACCAGCTAAAGTTGCCTTGGGTTTCAAAGGTGTTTTATAATGCCCATTCAGAGCAGCCATTTTGTTCACATGCAGGCTCCCACATAAAAGAATGTCTATAGCAGTGGTGGGTTGCTACCGCTTTGGGTGAACCGGTAGTAGCAGCGGCGGGAGGCTCCGCCCACCCACCCGGACATCATCAAATACGCTCTGCGCATGCGCGGAAGTAGCGCACACGCGAACCAGTAGCAAAGGTAAGTGAAACCCACCACTGGTCTATAGGATGTTCTCAAAATTCAAAATATGCCCACAAGTCCAAAGTAGAGAATACTTTTATTTTAATAAAGATCTGAGAAATATTTCTGTCCTGTATAGCTATCCTTACCCTCTGAGCTGCTTAGAGCACATGTATGCAGAGAAGCAGGGCAGAATTTTAAACAATATGACTCAAAGGAGAAGTAAACTCTAGGAATCCCTGGATTCTTCTACTGCTATGATTAAAATGCTAATGAAAGAAAAATATTGGCTTTGCTCAGGTAAGCAACTTGCACAATAAGGGGAAATGCTCCACTTTATCTAGCCTAATAAAGCAAATATTGCAGCACATTAAATCTAATGTGAACTGGAATAATATCTGAAGAGTACAGTAAGTAGGTGGGAAGACAGCCATGCCCAGAGAGGGACAATGAAATGGCATCCTTAATCCTTACACTTTGTGCCTACCCTTCTTTATTCCAATCCTATTCAATGGAACAGAGAATTATACTGAAAAAGGATTAAAATCATCAG